GCTAGGCAGAAGTGAGTAGTCTTTGTCGATAGATCTCTATTTTAGTATTTTGTCGAAAGCACTTTTTTTCACGAATTTATATATTACGAATTTATTTGACGATTTTTGATTTATATCACGAATTTATTTGTTTTACTAGAATTTATTTGTTAATGCAGGTTTTTCCATTGCAGTTCACTTATTTCAATTTTTAATAGACTTAATTATAGCCAAAATTTTAACCTTTTAAAGAGATATCAGTTTTAGAAATTTTATCCTAAGATTTTATACTATAGCACATTTTAAATAGGTTTAACGAATTACATGTCATTTATTTGAATTCAAATTTATTTTAATGACTTAGTATTTACTAAAACGATGTAATTTTTTAAAAAAAAATAAGTTGTTATATGGATTTGAATGATTGTTTTGAATTCTTAGAATTTGTGCATTTGCAATGCACCGAAGTTAGTAGCGAGCGAAACGATCTTGGTTTGCGAAGCAAACCATATAAGATTGCTTAGCAATTTTCGTGTGTTGGCGAGCGTTAGCGAGCAGGGGGGTGCAGCCCACTTGTTAGATTGTAATGGTCTAAGAAAATAGTGCTATTTTAAAGATTTTTGAATGACCTTCGAATTTTAATGCAAAGAATGCACTGAAAGTTCTTAATAATCAGATTGTAAGTAATACAACACAAAATAATGACGTCGTTCATTCATTTCACAAAAAGTATTACCTTATGTCAACAGATATGTTTTACTCAAAATTCCAGTGAATGCCCTAAAATCTTTGAAAAAATAAATAAATAAATTTAAAAAAAATCGCGTCAAATAGTTTTTTCTATCAAGAGCACACTTCTCATTGAATAATTAAAAATGTTTATCATTTTATTTGGTAGATTACAATAAAATGAACCAGTGTCAACGAAAATCGAAATTACAAATGTAATTTTTTTTAAATTATTTTTCCTGTTTTTTTATTATTTATCCAATAATCTATAAGATCAAAATATTCTTTTGGTTTCAGGGTTGTTTAATTAATGTTTCTATGTGTATTACATGAACACATGGATTAAAATGATTACTTTTATACTGACGTGGTATTTTTTCGTTTATTTTATTTTATAACCGTCGTTGAACAGCCGACCCAATTTTGGGTTTGCGACTACTAATGTTCAACTCCGTAGCCTTGTCATTTTGAACCCAATCCAGAAGACAAGGAAACTCCTGGGTCAGGTATTGGGAGAAATTTGTTCTGAATTTTTTTGATGAAACTAAGCAGCATTTGCGTTACAGGGAGAGAAAGAAAACGAAAACCTCCCTCGGTTAGCCTGACACCAAAAGGGACTCTAACCTATGATCCGTCTACTACTGAGGATATGTCACGTCAGCACTGTGGTCCGTGCAAGCCGGATGCGGATTCGTATCGAGCAGCCATCGGTGGGATTCGAACCCGGTTCATCTCATTAGAAGGCGAACGCTCTATCCCTTGAGCCATCACGGACGGCTCCGGTTGCGTACTATGAAATTTCCCACAATATTTTTTAAGAGTCTCTTAATAATACTCCGTTTCAAATTACAGATTATTTAGTTGCATTTTTCTTACTTTGCGCTTTAAATGAAAAGCAAAGGAAAAAAAACAGTAAAAAAAACATAAAAGGTAATGAGAAAAATGTTTAATTTTCTTCTCTGTAAATGACTTTATATAATTCGTAGAGTGATTTCTCCCATCAGAATATGCTGATTCCACAAAATATTAATATCCAATTTGGCGCTAATTGGATGAGGCCAAAACCGTTAAATTGGCGCTCGACACTCGTACGTCAGTTTTCCCTCAGAACAGATCGATTCGAATTCCATATGCGTCATTTTAAGATTTCACATCGAGTTTCTGGACTAAAGATTTTGAATTAATTGACGTGTTTCTCTGCCTTGATCTCAAAATACACAATTGAACATTTTATGAATTGTAAGATACAAAGTTTATAATTGTGTTTATTAAAAAAAAATTAATGAATGAAATTAAATGGGTGCATATAAAGTTTAGAACAAAAATTTTAATAAAAAAAAATTAGTAATTATGATGTTTTGATCCTTACCTTTCAAGTATATGTTATTTATTCTAAAATCGTTTTCTATTTTTATCATCGCATTCTTATTGGACAAAAAATTACATTCAGGTTTCTTTGGCTGCAATCAACGTAAAATTAATGGTTAATAAATAGTGAATAAATAATAAATAGTGAATAATTAATAAAAGTTATAAAGATACTGATTGCGTGTAAAATATTTCTTATCTCTAAATTAAAGGTTTTTGCAATATTTATATAATATTCTTATGATCTTGTTTTCAAATAAAAAGCTTAAAAGTAAAAGCTCCGTTTCCTTATTATAAATTAATATTATAATATTACCTTATTGCCAACAATTTATAATAATATTTAAATCGGTACATAATTTTATTAACTGTTAACCTTGATAAATTGCCACCTATAATAATAAAATAAAGAGTTTGTGTGCCTTGCTTGTAACTCCAGAACCGTTCGTTCTATCTTCCTGAAATATGGACAGCTGCTGTAAGGGGCATTTTTTAACCCTATATCTTAAAATTCATTCGGAATTTTCTATTAGAGAAAACCGGTTGTAAAACTGAATTTTCTCATTGGTGAAGCGTTAGCCATTTTTTTTAAAATTAAACTATAACGGAATCTAATTTTTCAATTATTTTAAATATACCATCAGTGCTAGTCAATTGATAAAAAAAATAAACTTAAAAAATGGTTTATTGCCCGTACTTTTTATACACTATGTCAGATGAATTCAATGTTAACGAGGTAACATGCCTGGACTATGTTACCAAATTAGTGTTTTTAAAGTCATTAAAATCTCGTGCTTATTGCTTATAGTGATTGGATACCTGCAAGCGACGTCACGCTATAAATTTCGGACATTTAAGTACAGTAAACAGTAAGAAATAGAACATTCTAAATAATGATCTAATAATCGGTTTTCCACGTACTAGAACTCAATCATAATGGTTTATGGGGATGACCCCAAATATAATAGCAAATTATAAAATCACACACGAAAACGTATTTTCGTTGCATTTGATGAATATAATATAAAAGCTGCAATCTGTAAAATATTGTCCCAATAGTTTGGTCAGGAAAAAAGCCTTTTTTTAGTTTTATTTCTTGCGTATTTAGACATATCTCGAGAACTTTTTAAGAACACAAAGGAATTCTTTTTACATGGAATTATAAAAATCATTTATCCAAAAATTAATTTTCAATAATTATTCATTATATTTTAATAATGGTTGGAAATTTTTTGAACTGCGAAGTATAAAATTTTTCACACCATTTTAAATAATGTTTTATACGCCAAAATAAAAACTTTGTGCGAAATCGGTTGAATATTTGCAGAGAAAGCGAATTTTAACTAAACTTTATTTTTAAATAATCAATCACTTCTTTTTTTACTATAACTTTGCATTAAGAAATAAATGAACTAATCGTCATTTACTTTTTTTTCTTTTAACTTTTATATCCCTATAAATTAGTATCGTTTTTGTCATTAAAAAGAAGGAAATAATCAGAATTTCCTTAATCATTTAGAATAAAAATACCTTCAATTATTTAAAATAAATAAAAATTAATTTTTCTTTAGAAATAAAGTATCAGAAACATTGCAATGAAAATGTGAAAATGAATATAAATTACAGCAATTACAAATAGGTAATGCGGTATTAAGCTAAAAACCATTATTAGATAATGATAAGGGCATTTTTAAGACTAATCAAATTTTTCTTAATTTAAAAATTCACTTTGTAAAAAAAAAGAATAGAAAATTGAAACCTACTTCACTTCAAATGCAATTAAAAAAACTGATTAAACTAAAAAAATACATTTATCTCAACAGCATTAAAATCAGCAACAAAAATAATCCTATATTATATTTTATTATAATGTTTAAAAATGTATCTACGACTTGAACGCTGAATCAGTGTGTGGATGATTCAATTTATGAAAAATTAAATTCAAAGCTTTGAATGGAGCGTAAACTTAACATTCTTTTTAATCTTTGAATATGGAAAATGTCTTTATCGAGTTTTGTTGAAAGAAATATTTGCAGAAATTTATTCCGCAGATTAATTCTTTTCTTTAAGAGGCAAAAGAATTTATATAATTATAAAAATTCTTTTCAACGTTAATTAAGCGCATTCTTTATGTTAAGAAGCAGTCGCTGAGATACCGAAATTCCTAATTATCAATGGCTTTATTTGACATCGACCCTATCATATATATAAACATAAATAAAATAAATTTTGCATTAATTTAATACTTAAAAAGAGTTAAAAAAAAGATTTTAAATCTATGTACGTACACCTTTTTATTCCTTTGTTTAAAACTTTAATTTATATAATATCTTTAATCTGTAATATAACTTTGTTTCTTAAAAATGTCTGATGTGTAGAAAAAAATTTGTCAAGCAGTTTATGAAAGATTATAGAGTTTACTGTTTAGATATATTTATTGATTTGGTGCACTAGCTGAAGAAAAACATCTAGCAAATTATAAATACATAAAATTAA